GTAGAGAATCAAATTTTACGTTCAATAAGGATATAATATTAAATTTCGCATATTTTGAGTTACAACACTATTGTAATAGCAGTGCGGTATGTCGTCACAACATAATAGGAACACGCCCTAACCAGGAGGAATTACAATATGACAGTTGTTATAATGATTTACTTTTATAAATACCTGATTTTTTCAATAGTTTAAGAGCATTGTTCTTGTAGGGGTAGCCTTATTGCAAGTGTCCTTTCTCTTGGGCTTTCTACTATATCGTACAATTTGTATCAACACATTCGCCCTTTATCTCTATTAAGTTTATATAATTAATCTTGGTTTGTTTCTGTCTTCTTTTCTTTGATAATTCCTTCTGTGTGACATAACAAATTAATTAAAATATTATGTATCTCTTTTAATATGGTGGCCCAACATAAATCAATGACCCCATTTTTAAATATCTGATAATATTACAAAGTTCTTTTCAGGAGGAAATGACAACACTAAAGAAAAAGAAACAGCATTTCCTGAGAAAAAGAAATACAGTAAAGCACAAGCTCGCCAAAGATATAAACAAGGGAAGCTATAGTTTTAAGATATTTTGTTTTTACTTGTGCTAAGATTGCTACATGATTTATGTCGAGGATGTAAACAAAATGCAAATAACCTTGGTAAATTCTTGGGTTCAATAACCTTGTAGAGTCAATTTAATGCTCAGATTCACGAGGTTGTCAAACGTGAACATGCAGTTCGATCTTAGTATTGTAGTTGACCAGAATTTATGGCAAACTTTTAAAGTTGTTTATGTGTTAGTAAGTCCTTAAAAATGGCCTTAAGAAAAGACAGTATTACATCTAAGCTGCTTGCAAAAGTTACCATTTTCCGTCAGCACATAAATTTACTTATGCATTTACTCGCGTTGATGTTTGACCATCTAGACGGGCCTTTAGCTAGCGGAGTCACAAATTGTAGAAGCATTGTTTCAGCTTTTGTTGTTAATATAGCAGTTTTAAAATGACAATGGCAAACAGAGCGTACGTCAGTACTGTGGAGCGACAGAAGTGGAGCGGAAGCATTGCCCGTGCCCGTCTTCGGTCAGATTTGTACAAGATATAACAAAAGTATGCAATAACACTGGGATGTGATTATGATAATGTCCAAGGATTTGAACCTTTAACCAGAAACTAAATTTTAACCCCATCAGAAAAACTTACAAATCTGTTGATGTTGCAAATATTAAAAAAAAAGATTCTGTTTAAAATTGTTCAACACAATCAATACTTTCATATGTACTCGATAAAACGGTTTATAAAATTCTGGTCTCCTTAAAGGTTGATTTGTAGTAATAGGCTTATATTTACAACTTTGGTGAAGGATTTCTATCTTGTTAAGAATTCTATAGAATACAGTGTGATGTGTTCATAAGAGTAGGCATTTATAAAGACTAAAATGCGTATAAAAAGCCATAAATAAATTAAATTCAATGGTGTGTGATTTTATCCTATAAGGATATAGAGATCATTAATGTTGCGTTCATAATGTACGAAACGGGTTGGTTTTCGATACACCGTTATTTACTATTCTGTAAATGCAATAATTGTTTAGGCTACCTATTTTTTATGTGGTTAACATGGGGCATTTTTTTCACTATGCATAGTTTAAACGAGAAAAATAATGAAAGAGTAATTCAGTAAATGTTGTCGTATGTATTCAATATTATAATTAAGATCTAAATGTGTGCAATTTCTATCACTACAGAATCAATATCCTATGATATGTTGTTGTCAATCTATAAAATGTTTATAATCCCTATTTTTAACATTGTCAATACTTTATGTATCGTACAATGGTTTTATTTTTCAAATAAGATTTGTACAATGTGGTCCATCAACTATTTTCAATAAAAATTCAATAATTGTTTATTTCTTTTCATTTGCATAATGATTGAAAATTGCCCAGCGGTACAACGACGCGCCTAGTTGTCCGCTGCCCCGTCAGTTGTAATCGGGCGCTTGTCGACGAAATTTTCTCCGCCTGTGGCCTTACCATGAACTCTTATTACGATTCAGTTTAAAATCTATAATGAATCGTTGTGAGACAGCGTTACATGGAGTGTATATCACCATCCCGCTTTTTTGTCGTTGCGAACCTATATTGAACTGTGATAAGAGTTCATGATAAGGCCACTGTTCTTATGTTAATTGTCAGCGCGCGGGTTGCCGGACGCGAGAGGCGGTCACCTCCTAAAATGTAGGCTCACGTTGAAATATCTTCTATCTTAAGCTCAATTTACTTGGCTGTAGAGCGGAATGGAATATGTTTTTTGTAACGAATTTGTACGTAGCTTAATGAGCTTTATGTCAATTGCGTATGTAAACGTATCGAATTTGTATGAATTAACGTTCATACAAACTCGATACGAGTACAAAAAACGGGTCACGTGCCTACCGTAGAATTCTAGCGCATTCTCGGGAGTACTTGCGAGAAATGGCGCGAAGCGAGGCGCACTAGATATAAATAGACCTTTGCAAAATCTTTCATACAGCTTAAAAAGTTTTCGTTTCCTTCATAAATCAGGAACACAAATATCTCTTCCTTTTTCTGGTCTTCTGTTTCACATATAAGTGAAATAAAAACAATATCCAAGTCCAGTATCCTAATGACGTAAAAGATCTAGACTAAAACAACTGGAGCTCCTACTGTAGCCTAAGGTTCAATTTACATTGCGGCGGAACGGAAGCGAAATTTGCCTCGCTGCGCGAGGCGCGTGAAGTCGCCGGAAGACTCGAGCATTACCGCGGATTCTCGTGACGGTTACTTGAGCTTGTAGTAAGTAGGTGTTCATCTCCTTACGTAGGAACGAACACCGAACATGACTGAACAATGCTCTTCTTGTGTCAACTCATACAAACCCTACTTCTGAGCACGAGTCACCTCTACTCTACATAATCGCTGCTCAAATGCGCCAAGGACTTCAACTTCGTACTGCAGTTATATTTGAAGAGGTTTGTTACTTTCGGACGTATGGTTTTGGCCGTTATCTGTTGAAACCGCGACAAACCCTTGTCACGTTTTCCAATAAAATTTTATATTGTTTTTATTTCGCTTATTTGTGAAGCAGTAGAAAAAGAAAAGAAAAAACAAAGAGAAAATATATTATATTCGGGTTCATGTTTTATGGAAAGCTTATCCAAAAACACTGAAACATTTCGCAAAGTTTTAGGCTCTATTCACCTATTTTATCTAACTTTTCCCCCATGCATTATTACAATTTTTTTCGCTATAGTTTATGGCCTTTACATCATCGTACAAACTATCATATTCTGAATTCATGTTTTTTCTTTCACGATACATACACAACCTATTTCGGAAACGCTTGGCGTCCCCGTGTTTTTGCCAGGCGTCGTTCGACGGCAGTTGTGGAATCCCGCGATTGCGCGGTCACTCTCGAGCAAGCGCTAGAATTCCGTGGAACGACCTGGTTTTCGACTTGTATCTAGTTTGTGCGTTACACAATTCATCTTAAACTTCATTATGTTATGTACAATGTCGTTATAAAAATTCGCTTACATTTCATTCCACCGCAATGGAAATTGAGCCTTCAACTGCACCAATAAAAACGAATTACCTGTACTATGAGGACCAGAGCAACGGAATTCACCCAGTCCAGAAACAGTTTAGAAATGTTAATTTCTTAACTTGGTTCCACCGGGAATAAAACCTGGGACCTTCTCATCTAGCATCCACAATACAAACCTAACGGTCGACAAAATAGTGACATTTCGCGTAGTCGCGCAACCGTTTCGCGGCAATGTAAATGAAGCCTTAGGCAGCTAACAATAATTTTCAGTTTGGGAATTCGTATAATAAAAATCTGAAATAAAGGGGAAATACTTTATTGATCCTAGTGTAAAATGTATTTCGAAAATTGCATCAATACAATATCTTTTTTATTAAAATTTGGTCGTCCTTATAATTAAAATAAGTCCAACACTGTACGGCGAATAAAAAAATCTGTACAACCAGATACTTAACTTTACAAAATTAAATGACTACAGACGGTGTGAACTGTACAATGTTTCTAAACTTTCAAGGACATGTAGACAAAACGTGGTAAGCATTTACATGGAATCAAAATGGTAATATAAAACAGATCTCTAATAAACTAGGGCACATTCCCTAGTCAATAAAAAAGAACAATAGACGAAAAAAATAAGTTTTATTATGCTATTCCTTACTCTTATTAACTTAAGCCTCGCCATTTACATTTAAGTAAACTATATACAACTTTTTCGTAGACATGTCCTTGCGAAGTTATCCTGTCCATTTAACTTTACAAAACAATCGAGACTTATCTGAAAATTAGACCACGGTATATTACATTTACACATTACAAAGGCAAAGACGACAATTTAACTAAGGTACCATTCTTTGAATGCACCTTTGATAAACGTAAAGGTAACGACCTATAATTGTAATTAGATTAATTACATATTAATCAATATTTATTGTATTGAAGAGTTGCACTTTGGTGTTTAAAATTACCGTTTCTCTTAGAGATATGTCAATCGCTATCAGATATTGCCTTCTTCCGCCGTTTTGCTTGTTTCGGTTTAACAATTTCGTCCTCCTGAAAATAGTAAAGCATTATATACTAGTATCTAGCTCTTAGATTTCCAAAGTGGTCCCTATTGCACCCAGTGGGCGCTGGTAAGAGCCTCGGAAGTAATTGGGGGTGTTGACGCTGTCCAGGAGGTGCAATGCGGTCGCATTTGAAAAAAACACCTGAATGATCTATATGAACTACACTACAAATTATTTTTGTGTTAATTTCAAAAATACGTGTTTTCAATAATTTTTTGTGGTGGACGTTGAAATTTTTTTATCTTGTCTAAGTGGGCGGTGCCAAAAAGGTTGGGAACCTATGATCTGGCTGAACTCTTTCTAATCATCTTATTGATTTTTATATAATAAATATATAGTATACATTAATATAATAATTTATTTTTATTATTTATACTCGTATCTGTTAAGTTTATTATATTTCTTTCTCTTTTGCACACTATTGCGCTCCTATGACATTCGTTCTCACTGCCTTGGGTTGACTGAAAGAGATCTCTTTTAGAGATAGGTCCATTTTCTTTCACCTTCTCTATAATTAGTATTTTTTTGGTGCGATAAATAATAATTTATAATTAGTAAGTGTTTGAGTTACACTAATGAGTAATAATATAGAATAATAACCCTTTTCAGTATGTTACCGAGTTTAAGCAAACGATTCTCGTCATGATTTCCTCTAAAAAAAGCAACACTGCATAGTGTCAAGTTCAGGTTTTGTTTATCACCTTTATTATATTTATTTCTCTTTTGCACACTATTGCGCTCCTATGACCTTCGTTCTCACTGCCTTGGGTTGACAAAAATAAATAGTTTTTTGAAAAATTTCTGGTCTTATTCTACAATTTAATAATTTACAGAAATAGGAGTTAAAATTTGTCAATATAACATATGTATGGTTTCCACCATATATTATTATTTCACCGTATATTAGTATATTATTTCTTTTTAACTATAACTAAACTCTTATATAAGTATTTGAGTTTCCTAACTTTCTCAATAATATTGTTACTTACCCAATTTTCAATAGACTTGTGAGCTTTGTATATATGTATATAGTACATAAGTATTTCACACAAGTATTTTATATAATGCTTATTATTTTATTTATTTATTAATTATTTAAAATAATTACCTCACTCTCGTCGTTTGAAGAATGCAAATTCTGATTAAGTGGCAGCGAATTTGCAACTAATTTTCTAGCTCTCCTCGATATGGGCAGTTCATCTTCCCATGCCAGGGTAAACAAATCGCTATATTGTCTCTGAAATAAAAAAATCAAAATTTAAAATATTTTATGAATTACATTATTAATTTAAATATTTTATTAATTATTACATAACATAATACATTTATTTTAATTTTAGTGATAATAAGAATGTCGTGTCTTGTTTTTGAAATTTTAATAAAATTTCATTGTCAAAAATCTCACCAATTAGGTACCACCAACTGCCTACCTGATTAGTGAAAACGCATATTTTGATAAATGTCATATCTTTTTCCACAATGGATTTGATTTGTGCCCATTTTGGTAAAAAAAATGTTTTTGATAAGATCTATCAACTGGTGGTATCAATTCTGTGCAATGACTTTGTAATGTTTATTTAGCCAGTAACACTTAGTAACTTGTTGTCTCTTGAAACTTTTTTATTTATAATATTTAGGTAGGTATATATCGAGGAGGAGGAGGAGATTTTGTCGCATTGGAAAATGTACCTTACTACAAAATGTCGCTTATGACATTTCAAAATTCGATACATCAACAAAATTATTACCCATAACGTCGATGAAAAATTTAAAGTGTCCTAAGAGGCGTTTTGTCGTAAGGTCATTTTCCCTTACGACATATCAAAATTCCATCATCGATATATAATTTATATATACTATCATGTAAGTACTGTACAGATATTAATAGCATCCTGTACAAATATGAACCTTGAAAGAACATGGTAACTCACCAAGCAAGTACCAAATAATTATTCAGTAAATATAAAAAATATGAATATGCTTACCCTTAAACTATCGCTACTATTCGATTGTGCTAGCTGCAATGCTTTCTGCATACACTCCATGTTGAAAATTGACATATCATCCTGTTCTACGCAGCACACACGCATTTGCTCCAAGTGTCCTAGAACCTGGAAGTTTTTATTACAATTTTGTTTAAAAACGTACAGCGTGTGTAAGCACTAATGGTGCTGTACATACATACTGTATGACCTGTAAGTACAACATCACCAGTTCGGTCCTTGGGTTAGGAAATACATTTGAGACATTTTAATTCATGTGCAGATTAGTTCCTATGAAGTAAGGTCTTTGTTTTGATCAGTATGTGCTCTTTAACAGTTCATGAAAAATGTCAAGGCTTGATGAACCTGCCACAACTAAAAACTACTGATATGAGAAGTCTCCAAATCAAATTAGGATAGAACTATTGGGGACCTTTTGTATTCTTATTGTTGTAATGGTGGCTTTGCAGGGTCAACACTGTAACACTGCACTAGTAACTGGGTCTACTGTGTACACATGATTGCATGTATCTTGAAGTCAAGACCCAAAGAGTTAAAGAACTGTAGAATTTTTTTAGCTTTGATTGCTTTCACCACCCTTCAGTAGTATGTGTTTTATGATTTTACAATACTGCCGTGCTTACAGTAAGTGTATATGTATTACAAACATACTTAATGTTAATATTGTAAGCTGAGCAATTATATTATAAATAAAAGTATCCAAAGAATGTTGAAAAACATAAAATAACTAAAACCATAGAACTTACCAACTCAGCTGAAGGCGGAGCATTGGGTGGAATGCTATGTTTCCCAGGACGTTTTCTTTTGTTAGGACTAGTTCCGGGGTACCTCGTGCTCAACAGCACCGAAACTAAGTCTCCAACTTTATCTTCATAGTCCTGGCACCAGTACATAATGGTTGACAAAACAAATGTGTCTTCTTCCAGAAGTGGCCTACAGAACAGTTGTCGCACAACGTCAGCAGTAGGTCTCTCTTGTTTCAACATTAGAAGGACTGAAGTAACAGCTTCTGCATGTTCCTTATATGATAATTTCGGAATGATAGGCAAGACATCTTCAACAGAAATGTCGTGAGCAGTCAAAAGTTGCCACAAGCAATACTGTTCAAATGTCTCCCACCCAAGACTTGTTGACAACATAGTTGTAATATCATCAGACTTGAACATCATCAAGGTACCTTGTAATGTGAGACATACCAGGCGCTGCAACTGTGCAGCATCTAATGTAGAAACTATGGCATGCAATATCCTTATGTGGTTCTGGGTTTGTTCTTTAAATTCTCTGTAAACATCTGGTATCAACCACACTAAAACATTTGGGTCACATTCTTGACATTTTTCAAAATCATCTGCTATACTTTCGGCTATTTTTAGTTCTAAATGACTACAGTAATCTCTATATAGATCAGTTTTGAATTTTACATTTCGCCTTTTGGCTGCATCGCGCTCAGCGCGACGATCTCGTTCGTAACATACCCTCAAATAAAAAAGCAAACTATACCCCACTGCATGGTAAGTGCCTTGTGCTTGTATCTCTTTGAATGTTTCCATTACTAATTTACGTCGGTCTTCTGAGCCTGACATAAAAGGGAACATGGCAAATATGGGTGAATTTATAGCTGAATCGAGCTCTGCTTGCGTTGGGTTGCCAGAGACATGCAGTGGTGGTGCTTCCTGCATTGTGGCAATGAACAAGTCTGCCAGGGCAGCAGGTGTAGGCATTGGTGCATTACAAGCATTCAATAATGCTGTAGCAGCACTACTTGTACGTTCATCTAAAAGTGTTTCGGCAAGTGGTCGCAATAAAAGTGGTAATGCTGCAGCCAATTCTGGTCGTTCTCTTGCACGCACTTCTGATAAAGGCAAGTCATCGTCATCAGTGTCTTCTGCAATAATTGGTGGAGGATCTTCCTCATCGTCGGAAAATGCAGGCTCATCAGGACCTCCTCTAGGGATCTCTTCATTGCCTTCTTCTTTCATTCCTGATACTCCTTCACCATTCCCATTTGTGCAGAACTCTTTAAAGGTTTCCCTCACAGTAGTGCGGAGCTCTCTATCCAACTTAGGTGAATCAAATAAAGGGTGTAAATTAGGCAATACTCTTTTCTCAATTATTTGCTGAAGAGAATTAAATATCCCTTGCCTTACTTTATCTGCATAAGGAGGGTGGAAATTTGGAATGATTCGGCATAGGAAGTCCAACAGAGTGGCAGTGACAGCTGGGTGTGACCTCATTGAGTGATGCATCACCAAAATTGCTGGTTCTATGTTCATTATGTTGTCCTTTTCAGGGTCATAAAATAACCAGTCATAAAATAGTGCTAGCTTAGCATTTGAGGCTGCTACATTGGAAGTACAGGTTGTGAGGAGCCAGCCAATGACAGCCCATCTTGGAATGATATCAGAACAAAGCAACTCATTTGTTGGATGTATAACTCCAACAATGAATCTAATCATGTCACTCCTGAGAGATTGTGATTCTGGTGTAGCCAAGTACTGCCTTTGGAACCACTCTTGGTATTTTTTATGATGGCCAAATCTGACCTGAGAAGTGAGGAAGACTAATTTCCTTTCCATATCAGGGGTAAGTCTTGATTGTAAGTATCTTCGGGACGTTCTTGTTTGTAATAATTGAAGCACATTGGTAAAAGTGGGGCAAAGTGACTTTGGGTTATTCAGAATATCTTGCCATAGTTGATTGAATTCAGCAATGCGGGCAACATTCTGGAGAAGTCTCACTAAATCTCTACCCAGGGTTAACACATCAGCAAAACGCTCTCTTATAAGAGTTATAACAAAATTCACTTCTTTTTGCCGCAGGTGCATAAGTTGTGGTATATTGTGGTCTTCTATCAATCTTAAGTAAGTGTATACAACCATGCATATAAGTACAGGGAATTTGTCCAGCCATGCTCTGTTCTCTAAGTAAATGTCCAGAAGAGATTCTACTAAGTATATGTTCTTAGGAGTAATGTCACCTCCAGAGGCGTACCGCATCAAGTTCCAACAAACACTGTCCACACCATTGACTGCATTCCTTATCATTTCCTTCACAATCCATAGCAGCTGATTGCGGGTAGTGTCTTGGAACTTCAGATATCTTTCGAGAATCAAATTGGAGAGATTATTCAGCACAGAAGTAAGACCGTCTCTAGTGATGAGCGTAAGGTCCCTGTAACACTTGACAGCATTGTGGGGCTCTGTGAGAATAGACATGAGCATGCCTAGTGACACCTCCTCATGGTTCTTGCATACAGCGTTATTGAGCGCATCGTGAGCCTCCTTTTCACTGCAGTCAGTGACCAGGGATTGAAAGTAATTGTAAGCCCTCTCGTATCTCTGTAAAATACAAATGCTCACATAAATATCACAAGAAAACAGTTCGATTTGCGAAACCTTTGTAATTTCGCGCCACAAAATCAGCAGCGCCACCACCGGCAATGAATGAAATTATCGCCTTACATGGCCGACTAAACGATTCTTTGTTGAGAAACTGCGAAATTGAACACATTACCTCTTCTATTTCATCCTTGTTTTCTATGGCGGTGCACACAAAAAGCTTAGGCGAACTAGATTTGGCTTGCTCCATAATTTGTATATTATTAAAACTACTTATTTTAATAAAAATCTTGCGTAGGTTGTCTCCTGCATGGCTTTCGTAGGCGAAAAATATTTATGAAGCAATACACAATCAAAAATATGAATGTGTGCGTGTATATGTCATCCGGAGTAGGACAAAAATGCGAAAAAACACCGCTAGAGAGCGCTATGCTCTAAATTTTTGTAACGTTTCATTTCACTAGAGATATAAAATTATGTTAAAGTGATTAAATAAAAAAAGGGCTTCAATTATTGCCAAAATATGAAGAAAAGTCGTAGTATTTTAGTTGTTATATCAGTCAGTTATTCAAAGACTGTACTTTTGCTCAATCGAAGTGATTTTCTCAATTTTTGTAATTAGTTGTACGGTAATCAGCGTGTGAAGGAACGTTATTGGATTATTTACCAACATGCAGATTAAAATAACCATGAATACACTCGTCTGAGTGACGGAAAGGAAAAAAACATAGATTAGTACGCTAAAAATTGGCGTGGCAAATGGCAATACTACTTGTTTAGTCCGCCATTTTGTGGTTGTTCTAAATACGCATTGGCGTGCGTCACTTCATGTGGATTTTCGTAAAATAATCAGTAAAGATAGACTTGTGTAGTTGACAATTTCTTTGAAACTTGTAATAAAGGTACGTATTATTTAGAGTAGTCACAAATTGACATCTATCATTATGTATTACCCTTGAAAATAAGATTAATACCACTGTTTCCAACCGGCAACTTGCCGTAAATATTATTGATCTTGTAGTTTAATTTAACTGTAATTACGTTGTTGGATCATTCATTTTATATCAGTGTGGTGTTTAACGTGTAATAGTGAGCGCGATGGAAAACAACCAAAGGGAAAAGGAAAGAGATCGTTCGCGACGCGGCGACCGGCCATCCAGATTTTCAGATGCGACACGAGACCGTTCCAATGAACGCGGAGGCGACCGCACCGATGGGAAACGTTTGTTTGTGTCTAACATTCCATACGAGTTCCGCTGGACGGAATTAAAAGACCTTTTCAAAGAGAAGGTGAGTAACCATTTTAGCAAGTAGGCACAGTACAATGTTGCTGCCGAAGTTAAATTGTAATTACGTAGCACGTTGACCTGGCAGATAATCAATAATTTATTTAATGGAACGTTTCACTCCCTTTCATACCATTATTAACTTCTTAGTTACTCATCTAAAAAACAAGAATCATCTCTTGTTGTCTTTCCCAACATTAGTTTCCGGTCTTTCAAGCGTTTGTGCATGTTTCATGGACTGTTGAAACCGTCATTTTGGCGCGTCGAGTGTGACTCGTATTTATTGCTAATAAATGTCCTGTTTTTAGGTTGGTGATGTGGCATTTGTGGAATTATTCCATGATGAAAATGGTAAGCCTAGGGGATGCGGAGTGGTCGAGTTCACTAATTCAGAAGCAATGAAGAAAGCTCTTTTTGTCATGCACAGATATGAGTTGAATGGAAGAAAGCTTGTCTTGAAAGAAGAAACTGGTGAGTATATAAAAGCGAACATTGCTAAAAGTGAATGTTACTCAAATATCTAGAACTGAACATTTTAGAATAATAACAATATGATAATAAAATTGTTGTATCTTCAATTTTGGTCTTGTTCTAGTGTAATTATTTTTTAGTATTTTGAACTTATTTCCAAATACAACAACAAATAATATGTAAAATAGTATCATATGCAATAATAATATAACAACAACTGTGCCACTTATCAGCCACTTGTTACTGATGTTCCAATTTCATTATCTAATATGCATAATTAGCAGACATCGTGATTTGGAAATTTTTGGAACATTTGGAACTAATGTTGTTTAGTGCCAGGACAAATATTGTAAAATTTGATGCGTTCATTCCAGGTAACGAGAGAAGCAGATTGAACTCTTCAAGGTCAGGTGGTGGAGGAGGTGGTGGTGGCAGGAATGCCAGGGATGAAAAAGATGGGTACGATTTTCTTTATTATAACATTCATTTGTGCCATCAATTTCAATTGTTCAAATTTGGTAGATTACCAACATCTAGACAAACTAAAATCAGGTCACTCTTGGTCAATAGTTCAAATTTATACACCTGTGGAAGTACCAACTATAGTAGATACAAATCAATTCTATACATTACTGAGTGAGTGAATCCATGCAAGAAATCCATAAATATAATATTTCTATGGACTGCTAGAGAAATTGGGTTATTGTTGGAAAATTTTTCAAAGTGAATAAGAATTTGAAACGAACAGAGACTGCTTGTTTTCACTGTAGTATGATCTGAAGAAATTGTACTCCTATTTAAAAAAAACATGAAAATTGGATAGAGATGATTTAAATAAACCATCTCAATTTAGTGATGTATTTACCTATAATCTAAATTTATCACTAACCACAGAGGTAAAAATAATATTATTTGGATTAGTTATGAAGTAAAAAATCTTAAGAAATGAGCCCCTTCATAGGACTTCCTTTCTGAATAAAATTTCCGTAAAGTAAACCTGAAATGAAATGTCAAAATTGTACATAGGATAGGAAATGAAACTATTTTTCCGGATTTAAATCGCGTATATTTGTTTTTTCAAACAAACTGACGTTTCGGGCCCTTTTGGTCCCATGGTCACAAAACAAATATATGCGATTTAAATCCGGAAAAATAGTTTCATTTCCTATGTGTAACAATCGCGAAAAGCTAAGAACTCGATACGTACATAGGATGATAACTCTATTTAGAAAGCATTAGCACACAAGAAATAAATGCATTATTAATTAACTGGAAACAGAAGTAATGAATTTTGGAATAAAGCAGAAGTTGCATAAAGACTGAAAAAAAAAAAGAATCTGATAAAACAAAAAGTCAGTGAAAATTATAAGCAGCCACAAAATAGACAAGAGATTGTGTAAGACAAAATTGGAAATTGTACTGGTCAGTTAAAAAAGTCTCTGAAACAACAGAGAATCTATAATAGTAATATTATTGGGTAAGGAACATCTAACTTTGCATAACACACAGTCAAATTGAAATGACATGTAAAATGAGAAAAATTGCCATGAGTGCTCTGTAAATTTTAATGTGTCTTGTGAGTCAGAATAAGAAATTACCAGGTGTTCATAAAATACAGTAACATGACCAAGTAAGAGGCTTAATCTCATAACTATTTAATTACATAAATTCATAAAATAACAATACCAATACAATGGATAAAGTCAATGACTGTTTTGTTACACATAAATAAAACAAACAATAACTATAGGCCTTTGGGCTTAATATTAAACATGTGTAAGATTTTCTTTAATTTACTTGGTCGATGCACAGAAAACCTCGATGAATATTCTATATATATAGAAACCAAGCAGGATTTTGCAGGGATTTCTCCCAATCATAGAAATATGAATTTAGTGAAGGCTTACTATGTACTACAATAAGGTTTTACACTAACTACCACATATTTTGGTTCGCTATTTTACAACTTTGTCTATATATTTCTCCCAGAACAGGGAGTAGAAAAGATACAGGAGATAATAAGCACACAAGATAACTATTAAAAGCAAGTTTTTGCATTTGATTAATAGGTGGCAGCCAGACTTTTATCCAAGTCTATTAACAAGTAAAGTTACTTAACTTACATTAACTGCTGCTGTTGGTATACTTATACCAACAGCAGCAGTTAATGTAAAACTACATGTTGAAGGCGGAAAATAGTAGATTCACAAGATATATCGCATGGTGCCAGAAAGGAACTTGTCTCTTCATTCTTGTTTGCTTGCTATGAGGGAAATTAAAATTATATAGAAAAAAAAAATTCTTCTATAAAAAAACTTTATAAATTTTCTAAAAATAAAATTTATACAAAAAAGCGCTTTTGCTAATAGCAAACAATTAGGCGTTAGGTGAAATGAAATTTAGATTAATGTGTTTTATATAAACTGACACTTATAACTTATGTATGATAGTTATTTAAAATTAGTGTTAGAGTTATTTATTATTATCGAAAATGAAATTATAGTATATAAGTTTATATTAAACGTATGTTATATTGTTATATAAAATATGTTTATATTAAATGAAATTATGCTCATCAATATTAGGATAATAATCTTTATATGGTACATTGCACATTCGTAATTTCATATCACAGAAATTAGAAAAAAGAAATACAGCATTTTTTTTATTTCATCTTATGCATGCATTATATATTTTCCAGTTGGGGAGTCAACAAACAAAGGGAGCCAGAGAACTTCAACACATATGGGCTTAGTCTCCAGTTCCTCGAGTCCATCAATGTGCAACCTCCACTAGTGAAGAAAGTTTTTGTGGCTAATGTAAGTATAGATTAAAGTAACCTTGCTGGTTCACTAGTTAAGCACTCGGTACATTATATTATTATATGCTTTATTTATTGACTATATTAGTAAAAAAAGGCTTAATATTTTATATCGACGTGACCGAGTATCTCTCTTAATTAACGGGTTTAATAAAAATTCTGGGCGTCATTTCATTTGTATATAATATCTCTGTACAAGTGTAATACCATGAAGCTTTTTTACGATACTTAGGATTCTTTGTGTCTAGATAGTATTTTCTGGATTTAGAAAATCAGTAATTACCATTGTAAGTTGTGTTACTGTGCCTTGGGATAGTCATAATCTAAGAAACAAATCATTGACTTTTTTTAGATTTGTAACATGTGGAATGATTAATCCATGCAGCTATCTATCTGAGCCCTCAATCAACCAGGGCAGAATTTGGGCACCTATTTCCCACTGATTACTGCTATTGTGAATAACATACTTTATTTTTGTTTTCAGCTGGATTACAAAGCTGACCGTGCAAAGATAAAGGAAGTATTCAAAATGGCGGGCAAAGTTCGGAACATAGATCTGGCGGTGGACAAAGACGGCAACAGTAGAGGATTTGCCGTCATTGAATACGACCATCCTGTTGAAGCTGTACAGGTAACATTACAAAAAAGAAAGACTTCTCGAAAACAATTCTGTACAGTTGTTGTCACATTTGGCAGACTAACTAGATCAGTTGGTGATAATAGTAAGGCAATATAATACACAGCGATATTCCGAGACGAATTTTTAAAGCGACTTGGCTCTGTGTAAATGGAAACACAAACTGCAGTTCAAACTGAAATATAAAATCTTATGCGTTTTCTAAGTATTTCGAGATTGGTTCCAGTTACGTGATTGGGCGGGCCCCTATTACAGAGTGATTCTTTCTCCAGTGCTATTTCTTATAATCTTATAATATAATCTATCTTTTTCCAGGCAATATCAATGTTCGACAAACAAACCCTTTATGAAAGACGTATGACAGTCAGAATGGACAGAGGTACTGATAAATCTGAGCCAAAATTACCCGACGGCCTTAAAGGCATTGGATTAGGTTTGGGACCAAATGGAGAACCGTTGAGAGATGTGGCAAGAAATCTACCACAGACAGCTACTCCTAGTAACTTGGGGCTGGCGAACACAACATCGACGATAGGCGCTGGAGTTCTGGGGGCCGTACCTGCAGCAGCTAGCGTCGCTTTGAACGGTCTTGGTACCGGGTTATCTGCTAGTACTCTTAACACTAATACCGCGTTGGGTGGAGGCTTAGGATTGCAGGTAAAGTGCACATATTTTTTTTATCTAAGGGTCTATATTATTTCTCTATGATATCTCTCGATGATATAGAATATTAGTTGGTATGAAGTCGGGGAATGCAGTTTGTATGCTGTCGCGCAGCATAACAAATCCCGAATGGCAGTTCAATCCCGTGAAACCAACTTTTCGACTGTCTTGCAAATGCGAAATAGCAATTAGATGTGTTGCTGTATCACTGGTTTTTTCTTTTAATGTACCTTTTATTATAATAATGACTGGTTTATTCCCATTTGTCACCACTGGCGACAAATGGAAAAGAAAATCCCATGTTACAAAGTGGTGACAAACAGGATAAAAAAATTGCAGTTGTTGCCAATGGTGATTTCTACTGGCGATAAATGGGAAAAAAAAAATCCCATATCCCACCTGGTAACATATGGGACTTTTTTCCCATTTGTCGCCAGTGGAAACAAAGCCAGTGGTGACAACTGGGAATAAACCCCTAAGTTTTTTAATCCAAGCAAGCTGTCATATCTTAATTGTTTAACCCACTGCCTCTCAAACAGAGGGTTGTGGGCTCAAATGCAGACTTACACTTTTTGTGAGTTTGAGTTTTTCGGAATTTAAGTTAAATTTATTTCAAAATTTACTATGACATTTTTATTGGAGGAAAATGTTGTTAGGAATTCAACCATTGTAACAAGCTTCTTTTCAGTTCCCCTTTTGTGTGGTATCTATAATTTCAACGCACTTATTCTCTTTTTGCAGGCACTAGGACTGACTGGTCTAGGTGCTCTCCAAAACCAACTACTCCAGCAAGGTCTAACAGCTAACGACCTAGCCACTATGATCCAGGCACAAGCTCAAGCCAATGTGAACACTGCAAACTTGGGCCTTGGCAATTCAGATTTGACCTCGAACGTTTTAGGCAACAGTGGATTAACCAACAGTGTCCTGGGAGCAAATAGCGCAATGAACTCGGGCCCGTTATCAGGTAGTTATTTTTTTTATTAATTGAGGACATTCCCGTCATTAGCAATCGGGAGCGTACTTGACACAAAGCAATTGTACAGAGGTTGAGCTCAAATGTGTGTAGAAGCTCGCTTTGATAGTCCAGATAGTAGCAATGCATATTATGTTAAGACAATGTTATGTTAAGTGATTTATGAAGTCTGACTGGAGGACTTAAATGAAACAAAAAAGGTTTTATAAAGAAAATTATTAAGATTCCTTATTGCAGTTGACTTTATATCATTAATGTCTTATGAAATAATTTTATAGAACAATTCTTCTTTGTTACACAAGTTATTCAAGATTCCTGTTGCATGGTTGCTCTGCCAATTGTTGTTATTTGCTAGTGTTGTAGTTATGTTGTCCTTAGTAGTATCACAAATATTTGTCTTGGTGTCACTTATGCTCTCAATGATTGTTTCGGTTGGGGATGTGCTTAACTATTCATATGTGAATGATTCAATTTGTACATTTCTTACCCTTCTGAGCATTTGTTTCCATTCACTGTTATGCTATGCATTGAGAGGAATCACCTGTGAAGAAGAGGTTCAATCCACAAGTACGTAAATATTCTCATTAACACCGTATCAAAGACTGCCAAGTGTTAGTATTGACAATTGATATCAATGTTAATATTTATTAATTTGATTTTTAAAAGTCCTGCAACATGGGGATTGTCTAAATATTACTTGTCAGCCTTTCATGCTCCGCTTTTAGCATGATCGCAATGACTAATGTCATATTGTATAGAGAAACTTTCTTCGCGACAAAGCGTCAATTTCGTACACTAATACTGTACGTTTAAGAGAGACTATTCGAGTGCAACGACACTGACGCCGCGTCTGTGACTTTCCGTAATAGACTATATTATCGCTCCGCTGTGGCGACGTCGTTCCTAAGTCCACCTTTAAGGCAACGCCTTTTGACAATGGTAGTAGAATCCATTCAATATACTTTATTGCTTCAAAATAATAAAAAAAGTCACATTTGGCATTTAAATCGTAAAATAAAGTTAGCTGTTCCATATATTTCATACCTTGTTTAAGTTAGCGACCTAAGGTTCAGGCCATACAGACGCGGTACAGCGGGAAAAGCGGTCTGGGGGCGGACCTGTGGGCGTATCGGGGCATGCCACACGGCTGTCCCACGCGTAATTCGAGGTGGGACAGCGACGCGAAGACGACCGGTGCGACACTCAAAAGCAACCAAGTTTCATTTTCTATATAGATTTACGGAAAGCACCATTTCGCTGTCGGATAAAAAAAAAAACTTTTATTCGCGTTAGGAAAGCAACGCAAATAAAAAAAATCACTATCTCGTACGGGGTCAGAGCGGCAACATAGCGAAAATTCTAACGCGATCTTTTATCTATAAATTCTAAAATAATAAAATATCTATCTACCTAATAAAAATCTAAAATTATAATCCTAATAATTACACATGTTCATTAGTTATTTATATCAATATAATATTATTTTTTTAATTAATTTGTTAACAAGAATAATCCTGAAGGTTTATTTAAAAAAAATAAATTTAAAATCACCTAAAATGTTATATTCTGGACAGGTACTTTTAAATAAAGTAGTCAAGGTATTTGAAATTGAGTGTCCAACTTTCTCCTTACTTCGGCAATACAAATTGAAAATTCGAGAACCCTTGTCTACTACATCACGTCTCATTATATTGATATAATAAATGTGTATGATGTATTAATCTGATTTAAATAAATGAAGAGAACAATAACTGAATGAGTCTCAACTTGTTTTTTTACTTGTCTCGCTTCATATTTCGGAAAACGAAAGCAACTCCTCTCTTTATCCCGTTTAGATGTTCATAAACAGCCGTACATAGCACAACTCACTACCACTATAAACAGTAACGTACTATGATGTTATATATTAACGTACAAGTTTCTTAATGAATAAATGAAAACTATATTCAAATATCAAAACCGTTTTAGCTCGAAAACAGCTCGTCGATAGCCTAGTTGCCGTTCAATCAATGTGACCGTCAATGTGCGGGGCGTGGTGCGGTATCTAAAACTAGGGAGGGGCGGAGTGTCCATTCGCGTTACTTTTTTTCTCTGGGAGGGTACTTAGAACTGGAACATTACAAAAATCTCCGTCTCTGGAATGCGCTCGCTCCTGCTGATTGAGTGATTGATTTATAGTAGCAGTAGAGCTCCTTGTAAAAGATTTCGTCCAGTGAAGTACTGCCTTACCTATTTCTGCCGCCAAGCATTAATGTCAGCGTTACTGTGTTCCGGTTTTGAAGGGTAAGGGTGCTGGTGAAATTACAGGAACATGGGACATGTCAACTTATGTCTCAGGGTGACGGGCGCTGTGGCAGTGCCCCTCAGATCTTTGCGATTTAAAGCTCCTAGGACACTGCAATTGTTATGGACAGGCGTGTAGCTTACCATCAGACGCAAGACTTGTTCATACCGTCACTTGATATTATAAAAAAAAGATTGGTTAGAGATAATCCACTAAAGCCGCATTCATATTGGCAAGTTAATTAGCTCTCACGTGTTGTTTACTCAGTTTGCTACTCTTAAGTGACTCTTTATCTGGCACTTTGAATTTCTTGAAATATTCTTTTTTTTATTTTTAACACCTTTATGCACTAGCCCTACTATTTTAACGTTTGTTAACGCCCGCTTATCCTTGTTTCTCACTCTACCTTAGTCCTTGTCATTTTTTATGCATTTGTGCCAAAGAGAGCAGCCTATACTAGGTTGCTAACTTAAATGTTGTATAATTGAGAAAATCTTAATTGTACAGCTGCTTTATTTAGCGATTCGAGTGGGGTCCTCATAGTAAATGTTATTTAGTTTCACATACTTGCCCTTAAAATAGTTTCAGTTAATTTTGTTTAACTACATGTAACTTGTAATCAAATTTTCTTGATCTGCACAACATTGATTATACTCAAATGAACAATTTTTCCCAAGGAACATATTATAACTAATACTGAAATAAGTCCATCTATCGTGCATACATTTTTGGTTTAATTTTCTTAACCTAATTTTAGATTCTTTTGGGCTCTCTGTGTTATTTCTTTTGTTTTTTCTTTTTGTATTTCGTTATGGCCATATTTACTGGAACGTAGAGGCTTGGTGATCTAAAACCACCACAAATTGGTTTGTATAAATGATGAGATCCATTGTTCTCTTGTAATTTTGTGAAGGAAATAAAAAATATATATTACAATTACTAGACAATCTTTATTACTGTGTAGACTTGCGGTTGGTACTTGTTTTTGGGGATAATATTGAATTCATGAGTAGAATCAGTATTATGCAGATGAATAATTATTTTGATATCTGTAACATACTAATAATAATCTTTTCTATAATGTGGTTGTTCTTATGTTTTAGCTAATAGACAACTTGGCGGTATGTCAACAGTGGCGAGTCAAGGGTACGGACGTGAACCACCCGTACAACAATCTAATAGAGATAAACCATCTGATATGGTTGTAATTACGAATGTAAGTTGTTTGCCTGTGGTTATTGTAAACACTTTTCTTTAAATCATGTAATTTAATGAGCTGAATCGCGTATCTATAATTAAATCGTATATGTTACCTTTAAAACTAGGCCTTTATTATCGGGGCACTCAACAAAAAAGGTACGCCGTAAAAAAGCCTATTAACATAATGATTTTTTAAAGTTGTAGATCTAAAATTGTGTAATAAATTCATCTTTAAGTGTTCACTCTCGCTCACATACCCCATAGTAACACGATTGAAAGAAAGAATATACTTGTTGCTTGGATGCATTAATAAAAACAAATTTCTGACCCATTCTTTGTTTGCAGTTACCACCCACTGTGACTTGGCAACTGATCCGCGAGAAATTCAGCGAGTGTGGCGATGTAAAATTCGCAGAGATGACAGCCCCCGACACAGCTATCGTTCGCTTCCACCAGGAATGGGACGCAGAGAGGGCTATCAGTATCCTTTTTCAAACAAAATATTACATTGTTGCAATTATTTTTGTTTTGTTCTTTTAAAAAAATACTTATTGAAATAAATAAAATAACCAATCAGTTAGCCATTTGGTGACACCTATTGGATTAGTTTCTTAATTTCCACATTGTATGAATTCATTTAAGGGAATAAAAACAACTGAAAACGTCAATTATTTTACCGGCGAAATAAAATTATATTTTTGTCAGTTGTAAACTGAATCGATTTAGATGAAACGAAATGGTTAGATATTGTAGTAGTATTTTATGTAGCTCTACATGCTATTATTTTAACTTTTGCTTTTTTCGTATTATACAATAAGCAGACAGTTTTGGTGTAATTGATATTTTTTGCATTTCATATTTCCTTAACTAAATTTTCAGAAATGTTTGACAGAACCCGCATTGATGGCAGGACAATCGACGTACGTTTCTTCTGAACGCCGTAACGCCGGTAAGTAAAACTTCTGACTTTTCAGATTTGTTGGGTTACCTTAAAGTTATTTGAAGTCATTTTCTTTCTTTTTATACTTGGCAAATTACTATCGACTTGTCATAGAACAGCGGTTTAGGATTCCCATTGACAAAAACTCTTCGTTGGTGGACCAAAGCCGTGTCTTGAAAAATTATTTTTCTGAATATCCGTACATTATGAGTAGATTTTTCTCAAATCAAAACACTATTTGCAGGATTTAAGCTTCTTGATCGTCACTGGGTTAAGGATACAGCGTTAATATTTATTCGTGTCAATCCTTTTCGCTGGTTTCTGAACCGAATTCTGAAGGTCAAAGAACCTGTTTAAAAGACGATTTCTATCTATTAAAAAACCGGATTGGATGATCTCTCGTACATAGTTTTTACTCTATACAATGACAACCGGCTTTATCAGTATTATCACCCTCGATGGAAGCGTCTCCTGATTGAAGGTCCTAATCATTGCCATCCCTCTGACATTATCATATGTATAGGCAGCACCATTTTAAACCTAAGCCTATTTTAAACCATCGGAATTAGATAAGGTTTATAAGGCCTTAATTGTCTTAATATGCGCCTTTATCAAGTTTTTTTTATTTCTATACGAAATTTTCTCTTTGAGAATCAACAGGAAATGACAGATCGTTCTATATCTATGTTCGAGAGCTGTATGCCTATTGGACTGCTAGGACAGGCAACAGTATCGTATAGTTCGATAGATTGGCCTTACTTACTCGGCCCTGTGTGCGATTCGTCACAGAAAATACTATTAGCGAACGGTTGGGCTTAATTGAATCAGATCTCTCATTTGCTGTCGATGTTTCCGTATCGGAAATAAATACGCAACCGAAAAATCTACTCATTACACAAAATCGCCTTTCATGAGAAACAATTTCTACACTGTCCTTTATTGTCCAAAAAGGTTTTTACAGCGAATTTGTATGTTTTATTTATTGATTTCAGGCATGTATCGTATTCAAGTCGGTCTGTTGCGCGGTTTGTATAAACTTGGGCAGCCTGGATAGAAAACTGCTTTTATCTTCGTCTTTATTGTGGCTTGTTTAATGTTCTGTTTCCATTTGGTTGACATGCTCTACCGATTTAATGTATCCTAAGTTAATTAGCATAAGTGTCTTAATGTTTGCTGTACTTTCAAATGATAAAGCTTCAATAAATTCTATTCAAAAGGTCAAAACTCGTCTTGAAATTGCTTGTTGGAAACACCTTAACTGCTACGTGATTTGTGCATTACAGTTTTTTAGGTAAAGTATCGAACGTTGTGACTTCTGTTTCGTCTGACAACGTGGTATTATTATGGTTTATTCACGTGTCAAACGAATCGACATCTTGACATTGTTACAAATTTTGATCCAGGAATCTAAAATTGTAGTAACAAAATGTATTCGGACTTTCGTATACCTATACTTAGGTATTATACATCACATTTGTAAATATTGGATGTTTGTTCCATGATGTTCATCATGCTTAGATGCTGAATACATAGACTCCACTCGGCCCTTATTGCGCGTCGTTTCATAAATTGTTAGTCCGACAGAGTTACAAAGAAGGTATATGTAGGTTCTTTATAAACCAATATAGTATATAGTATGTACATACCTAATCAGTGTAAACAGGTTTCCGTGTTACGATAATTGTGCAAGTCCTGCAGTGCTGAAGTAATTTTTAAGCGGTCATTCCTGTCCTTATCGGTTGCAATGATTGCTACAACGCAATTGTAGGTATCGCTACTTTGCGAGTGTATAACTCACGATTAACCTCGATGCGGTCATGTGCAATTACGGTCTAGGAGAATGAGGTTTTTGTAATTTGTTTAAAATTCCGAGAAGTTAGAATTGATGTAGATAATATATTTTGATAAAATGTTATCAGCAGACTGACTACCGTAATAAGTGTAATAATTGTTTAGTGGTCTGAACTAATCTCATATTATTTTAAAGATATTGCAATTGTAAGTGTGATTCGCTTGATTTTGGGGCTATTTTGAATAGTAGAATATCAATTTTCTTTTCATCATCACACAAATTGTAACTTTTCTCCACGGGCTACACTGCGACATACTTTTGCCACAAAGAGGACAGTCTCGTGGGATCTGTAGGCGACCATCGCGACAAATCTTGCACATCACCAGATTTTCGAAGCAGAAGTTTAGTTCATCAGGCTCAAGAGGTTTTCCCTGGATGAAGAGTCTTGGTCATCATTTGCACCTTTTTCGATGTGGGCTTGATGACTCTATTCTCTACATATTTTCGTGTGGTAAGTTTTGTAGCACTCGACTTGTTACTTTATCATTGAATTTGCATGGGGTTTTCGGTGGTATTTGAGTTTATTGTCTGACGATCTTGGATACCGGACATTCTGCGTAAAATGACAGTCGAATACTTTGGACCCAAACACATCACCAGCGACGCGACGTAGCAACAACTTTTTGACTTGCATTCGCATCATGTCGCGTCGCTTTGATGTGTGTAGCCTTTGCTATTCGATTGGAGTTCTAATTTTACTCATTTGAAAGTCTTATTGTGGAGGAGTGGAATTATTGCAATAGATCTGGTAATTTGTTGTGCGGAAGTTTTTTGTAATATGTAGGTACCATTTTCTGGGTTCGCACGTTTTATCTTGAAGGCAGTCTTTTCGAAGTAGTGTGGTTTCGAAACAATATAATTTCTAATTTAGATTTTGTTTATTGACATAAACCAATGCTTTCAGATTGTTGACGGGATTTGAAAACTAAAACCTGAATAGGTACATTATTTCAGTATTCTTGAAATGCAAGACCAAGAGGTGGACAAACGTATTTCTTACGCAATAGATATAACTAAATGCGAGTAAACTCAAACAACGAGAGTTAGAACCATGCTAGTCACAGACGTCGCGAAGGTAATAAAAATTTATAGCGGTAGAAATATTAACCTGATTTTAATTATTTATTAGGATAAACTCAATAAATAAAACTATTGTTTCAGATCACACCAGGAATTTATGATACAGATATTATTAATTAATGTTCTTTTAAATATAGTTTTGGTGCTAATTAATAAAATGAGACTGAATAAAACCATCTTTAATTATAATATTCCTTAGAATAATTCTCACAACATTCAAGGGTTTTTCTTCCAGAAATGTAGTAGTTTATAAATGGGGATTCGTACTACCATAACCAAAAATTCTATTAATGAAATTATTGAAGTTCCAATGCATAGGTTCACGACGCCTCCGATTCTCACTGCGAAAGAGATAAAAGTCAAATGAATATGATTTATTTTTCAGATTTCCGAACACCAGGTCTTTACTAAAAGTTATTACGGTAACCAACATAATCTAATATAAATAATTAATAGAAACTGCTAATCGGGTATATTTAAAGCCAGTCATTAAATGTCAAATTCCGCTCGTTTCCGGAACCCATTCTCTGTAATTTAAGTTCTGAAGTTTAGAATGGATCGCGGAAATGTAAATACTGACATGTAGCAGTAAATTTCAGTTTGGATTTCAAATTCCATGGTCATGATTACGACGAACTGAATACAGAATTTATTAAGATGGTTTCTTTTTGTGATAGATTTTGGAAGCCGTCGAGTGCGAGCGGCACCGGGTGTACTTTTTTCCTTAAGGAACTATAGATTAGATGACTCTTATTAAAATACATCAAGACCAAAAACATCCTCTACTTACAAATAATATCTTCAAAGCTGAAAATAATATCTCTTACTATACGATATTTCGGAAACGATGATATGCCAATTCGCAATCTATTCATATATGGTTGTGGTACCAAACTCTCGTCTTCTTTTTGATAAATATCAATTTCGCAATTGCTAAGGCATCCGCAATCACTGCTGTTTTTCGGTAGGCGTTCATTGTAATTAAACTTTTGCCGTGTTTCTTCGGAAGCAGACAGAGTTAGAATTTCTTTCTTGTACTTTACCACGCAGCTTAGTTCACCCAAATTGCATATTTTTTCGTCATCTGCGAATGTTTATTAGTTTTTACTATACACAGGAAATTTCTGGAAGATGTAGATATGAGGCTAAGCTAGCGCAATGATAATTTCGGGTGTCCACAAATAAATAAAAATAGCAAATACTGAACTATTCATAGTTATAGTAGTAACTATTTAGTAATCTGTGGTTACAGCTGTATTTTAGTAATTAGGGCTAGCTACGTTAAATAAAATAAAAAAAGTTATGCGTTAAATCAGTATAGACCACAGATATATATCTAGATAGACGCCGCAAGTGTACGTACTTCGCGTGCTCAAAGTAAGTGAAATTCACTTACTTGCCGCTGCTATACTTCAGAACGCGCTCAACCGTCATCGTAGATAAACACCAGTCGAAATTGCATAATTGTGCTTTGTGCCCTTATAAACTGCAAAAGCACCATAACTGTGGGTAAACGGGTTAACAGGGCCTTCCACGGGAAAGTGATTTTGTAATCAGAAGATGCATAATTTATTTTAAAAACGATTCTTTTGGTTTTGTATGAATTTCGAGAAAACAAATATGCAACCGAGTGTATGTCTCATGATTTGTAGTACATTGGGGCTTTTACTTGGTGTGATATATTTGTGATCCTTTGTTAATACGCCATGAATATCGAACGAACGCACTTTTGTATAATGCATCCAGTTTCGTGGTACGGCCGTTTTTACGTTACATTTCTTTGGCCAAATTTAACATTTAATGACATCATTATACGTTAGCCAACACTGTTCTCGATTCTGATTGAACACAAAGGGACGGAAATTATTATGACCTTAGCAATATTATAAAAATATTCTATAACTCTTTTGTTATAACGTTTAGTAACGTTTCGTTTTTTCCAGTTTTGTAGTATCTATTATCATTAGTATATGTAATTTCGATAATTTATGCAGCATTTTGCCTTGAATGTCCGAATATAGTGAGCAAATAATTACATACATCGCCCGATATGTAGTACGAGTAATACAAAAAAATATATAATGCAAAGAATGAACAGTGCGCTGTCTTCAAAAACCTAGAGATGGTCATATGTATAAGTTCGTTGCTTTCGAGGACGAAGGAGGTCTAGTTTTTTCCACCTAAGATGCTATCCAAATACGCAGAGTAGCAGAGTTAGAAATCCGAGGAATAATAAACAAATCACAAAAATTTCACACGAGGCCATCATTAACTGCCTCCGTGGCCGAACGGTTACCATGCCGGACTGCCACGCAGAGGTACCAGGTTCGATCCCGGGCCGGGAGAAATATTTGTAAGGCCTACATTTATTTCTCTCGTGAGTTTGGGTGTAATTTGTGGTTGTCTATGTGTGTGTCCATGGCACCCGCGACACAGGGTTTCTCTAGTGCGGGGCTATGTTGAGTGCGTGCGTTATTATTATAACTATTAAAAAAAAGCATCATCATTATATTTTCTTTTTAAATTTTATTAAGTAAACCTCTGATAAATAAGATTTTACCATATTATGTCAGCAGTAACATTTTCATTTGTCTTGCCTTTCATCAATTTGATCAATTAAGAACAGAAAACCATCTAGTAAAATTAATTAAGGCAGTCGCAAGTTCATATATTGACGTGCGTGTTCATTATTTAAGTTAGTCGATAAGATCTTCTATTACAAAGAGATGTTATATAATAAGCTCATTTTATTGGAAGGACAATAATTTCAATATTTGAAGTCGATTAAAAATTAAAGTCTCAATTTTTTTAAGTAATCAAATTTTTTTAAAGCAAGTAAAATAAAGAACTTATTAACTATGTTATTTTATTATTTTTCTACTATATTATTGTTTCGACTACTTGTAATCAACAAATACTTGAACAAAAATTATTCTATAATTTATATACACACATCAAAAGTGTCTAGAGATCAAGTGAATATTTTTGAAATAAAAATTATTTAAGCAATATTTACCAAATCCAGTCTTCCAGGACGACTTCTTACTTTAATGCTTATGTTTTATTTAACCGCTTACCCCTATATTTCATTAAAATAAACTAAAATTGATGTTTTTGCAAATTGTGGGAAAAAACTCAAATTAACGGCGTCAATTAAATGACAAAAAAAGGCCTTCGGGATCGCAGACCCACTTCACGTAAACGATTTCGGATTGTTTGATCGCTTATTAGCAAGCCTGAGGAGCTGTGGAGCCTCGTAACCAACATCATGGCGGTCATGGTACGATTCCGTCGAGCAGTATTTTGGATATACCGGTCCTGTCTGCGAGTCGTGATGCGAGATCGTCCTCCATGTCGCTCGGCCACGCTGCCCGTCATGCGATAGCGCGTCCAGAGGCGACTTATGACGCTCTGTGTAGTGTTAAGAGTGAAACCCACAGCACGTTGCCTGGAACCAGCTTCCAACATTCCGACGGCTCGCATCATCACTTCTCGGGTTAAATGATGTCGTCTCTCCATAATAATGTAAATCGTTTCGGTTCCGATGCAGATATTGTAATGATTTTGTCAAAACGCTATAACTCATTTTTATACAAAACCACATTGACAATTGATTTTCTTCTTATTATCGAATTTTAAACAATATTCCTTATTTAAATGTTAAAACTCACTAAAAAGTATCAATAGCGATACAAAAAAGTTAATATAATTAACCCTAATTGCAGCAATACTCTTAAACGTACTTGATCCCTAGACACTTTTGATGTGTGTACAAAGATCGAACACTCAGAAAAATCCCTTCGATCCGGTCGGATTCGAACCGACTTTTTCTTGCACACCGTGGCAGACGCTATACTAACTAAGTCACGGAAAGAACCAACGGACCTCACGAATTTTTCAATGTGCTTGCGTCGTGTCTTTGTATTTGGTTTTTCAAGTTCAGGTTCAGGTTTTCAGTTCTAAAGTAGTTGATTGGTTTGCTGTTAATAACCTCCTCCTTAATGGGAAAAAACCAAATTGTGTGAAATTTACATTACCCAATGTTAGAGAGACGGTTACAAACGTTGTACTTAGAAACGAAAAATTGAATCTTGTGGATACAGTTGTATTTCTAGGTATAACGTTAGATGCTAAATTGCAATGGGGTCCCCATATAAGTAAGTTATCGAAACGGCTCGGCTCTGCAGTGTACGCGATTAAACAAATAAGGAAACTTTCAGACTTCGAAACCGCTAGATTGGTTTACTTCAGCTACTTTCACAGTCTAATGACTTACGGCATTTTGCTTTGGGGTAATGCCGCCTATATCAATAGAAACTTTGTCCTGCAGAAACGTGCAGTTTGGGGCCCAGATTGTAAATTGCCAAAAATTGAAAAAAATGTATCTTTGATGAGATAAGTTTAAGGAAATTGACATTATTACACTAGCCTCACAGTACATTTATGAAAATGTAATTTATGTTAAAAGGAATAGTAATTTCTTTATGAAAAATAGTGACAGACATAACATTAATACGAGGAATAAAAATAAACTAGCTTTTCTTGATAGTCCTCTTCACAAAGTCAAAAAATCGTTTAAGGGGCAATGTATACGCTTCTATAACAAGATTTCGGTTGGTATACAAAATTTGCCTTTCACGAGGTTTAAAACTATAGTGAAACAAAAACTTTATACTAAAGGTTATTAATACAACTTCTGCGTACTTGGATGACAAAAATCCGTGGTAGTAACCCGTTTAGCTCATGGAGGTAGTCTCGATCTCTGATGTTTCAAATAAAAAAAAATATATATTGTAAATGTTGAATGTGTACAAATGTTAATTACAAAGAGCAACCCCTGGAGTTTCTTGCTCATTCTTCTCAGGGGAATCTGCCTTACGAATGAGCGGTAGAGTTTAACCATTGCGACGATTTCAAGTGCAGTAATGCTTACCTATGAAATAAAGATTATTTTGAATTTGAATTTGAATTTGAACGACTTTTTAGTCGCTACGACTGCGATATTCTATTTAGAATCGATTAATGAATGGAATACGCGTATTCTGTGTAATTAATCGAGCGGAAGGAGGTTTCCATCAATAGTTCTTGTGGCGTCATAGTGGGTACAAAAAATGTGGCACGCTTGGTTTTCATACAAATTGCTGTACTTGCGGCGTCTATCTAGATATCAGTCTGTAGTATAGACTATTGTTTAAGACGAAGTTAGAAGTGAAAACAGTATGTATCATGTAGAAACGAGATGAAGGTTCTTGTTGAAAATTTATGCTTAGTATCACAGACGTGTCTAGTAACGACACCTAACAATCTAAATTTATAAAACCGACAGAAACGAGTATTTTTCTATTAATTAATATGATTAAAAGTCTATTTTAGGGCATAGTTAAATGGTGGTGGTGGTCTAAATACTGAACACTGAACAATGGAATATTTATTTACAGACGAAAGAAGTTAAACTACTTTATACAAGCCAGACTTATACCTATATACAATCCCGCTACTCATGTGCAGGCAGAAGGAAGCATACTATAAAGTGTAAACAATTTAACTTCTTTTCTCACCTATCGCTTTATAAAAATGGGGAATGCACCCACACAGTTTTAATATCATTTGAATCCTGCATTCCAAAAGACAGTGGTTATAAGAGTACACAGGATATCTCTTGCTTATAGGCTCGTTGGTAAATCTGCAAGAAAAACGCTGTGTTAAGAACGATGGATTTGGACGTTCGCTAAGTGGCGGCATTTCAAAGAAGCTACTTCTACTTCTAATGACAACACGACAAAAGTGATGTCAAATACAAATACAGAGTATGCGATGGAATTGCATGATTTAATTCCGCCTTGCCCTTCCCATCATCGGGTGAACGTAGGCTGGGGTTCCTCCTCTGCCTCTATGTTGTAGATATTCCAAAGATTCACACGAAGCGTTTTGCTTCCATATTTCGATACTTCCCACGTAAGTTGAAAGTGAAAATACCCCTTTTTGCTTTTTAACTTAAATAAATCCTTCTTTTATGTATATTATAGGTTCCGTATATAAAAGTAAAGATATCACTTAGTGTTATGTATACTTTCAAACATGGAACCTGCAACATACATAAAAAAGTTAAAATGCAAAAAGTGGAGGTACTGCAACAATTTACGTGGTACGTATCGAATTATATGGGGAAAGGCTATGGAGTGGAATTCCCTGCATGTAGATGTCCCTGATTCCCTTAACGCTATAACTTGGGCCTTTTCGAGGTGACAGTGAATAGGCATTACTTAGGTGTGCATGCTACATCGTCGACCTCATCGTCATTTTAAATCAGGGGAGATGGAGGTCAAATGTGCACTATTTTTTTTTATTAAAATGATACCATCGTCATCATTTCAAAGTCCTAGACTTCTCAAAGGTCAGTAGTTTAATAAAGTAATAATATAATCGGACAGTGGTACTACAAAATCCTATGTAAAAGGGCATCATTCATGTAGGCATATGACTCTGCCTGGTTAACTCTGGAATGACCAAAGGATAATCACATTTCCTTAATGAAAAATATCTACGTGTAAGCCACAAATACATTGTTCTATATTGTAAGCCAATAGCTTAGATTTTTTCTTAAACGCTCTGCCTAACTAGAAGAACACTATAATATATGTTTCGGATCGATTCCCGTCGAGATCGAGATCTGTCGATTCCGACGAAAGGCCTTCATCATTAAGTCTTCGAATTGCAGTTTAGTTACCTAATATCACTTGCTTAAACACTGAAGGAAAACATATCGTAATGAAAACTATATATCGAAAAAGGCCCCGTGTACATCAAATGCTACCTACTTATGTGAAGTGATTCAGACCAAGTTAATATTATTGTTATGATCACATTTAGTATACATTATAATGAAAATATTGCATATTATTGACACTGACATTACTTACTTGAAAGGGTATTTAGAAAAATACTTGAAAAAAACCCGGTTGCGTTTTTCATACAAAACTGAGGGCAAACTTGCTTAGGCCTAAAGCATAGGTTCCTAAATTTTTGGCTCACCGCCTGCTTATGTAAGATAAAAAAATTTGAACGCCCACCACTACAAAAAATAACTGCAAACACGTCTATTTGCATTAACTTAACAAAAAAATCAGAAGAAAATTAAAATTTGTAGTGTACTTTTATATAGGTAATTAAAGTTTTTTTTTTCAAATGCGGTAGCACCCCCTGGACGGCATCAACGCCCCCCAACTGCCTTCGAGGTACTGAAGATGATAGGCACGCAGACTACCGCGTACTTAGTACCACTTCCGGAAATTATTGCCTAAAGCATGTAATTGCGCGTTTAGCGCTTTTCCCACTGTAGTTTACTGGGGTTAGACTTCGTAGAACTGTGATGTCCCCAACTGGTATTGGTTCATCCTGATGGACTGTGTGGCCTACACCGAACTCATAAGCAGACCGAACGGCAGTGATATGATGTATGGTATGTGGCCTGCTGAAGTTCTGTAGGAGGATGGGTGACTATATAATCTATAGGGGCAGATTAATTATGTCTTTTATTCATCCATTATTAATTTCATTTGCAAAAACATAGTCGGGCAGTCGGCTTTATGGACTAAACGATTAATAAATGTAGGTACTACAAATAAAATTTTGAAAGGTATTGGTAATTGGACCTGCATTTCCTAAGACCTATTCCAGATGTTCTTAAATTGTCAGATATCCTTATGCTCGACACTTGTATACCAAACGTTAAGAATCCTTTAAGATAATGAGAATATGAAGGTGTTGTGCTGAGGGCTATTTCATCTGGACTGTGGATTAAAACCTGAAAGTAAACCACTATATTAACTATGGGAACAGACTTAAGAAAGTATAATTATGTGCACTCACTCTTTAACTTATATTTTTCAGGACGTTTCTATGTACAGTCAAGAGCACGTCAAGATTGACACTTTGTACTTTGGACCGTTCGTATCGTAAGCGGCATAGTTGGATTTAAATCTTAAGTGTCAAGCTTGACGTGCTCTTGATCCTGTACCTATGTATGTACATAGATATACGCTGAAAAATATAAGTTAAAGAGAGATACTCTGCACTTAAGTATGGAATTCTAAAATTATCACAAAAATTCATTGTCTAAATTATATATCGGTTTAAATAACTTTAATTATTGCACCCAATTTCATCAATCAATCACTTCCAAACTTTATGACGTTAATTAACGTTTGGCAATAAATAACATTAATTTGTGCGTACCTTATATACTTCGGCGTAATTAATTATTTGAGTGAAGAAATCTTTTTCGTAAACTGATATTTCGATATTAGTTTTCCTGTATTTTATATCGCTGTACCATTTGCTAAAACATACAACTGAAGTTTATTTTTGTTACCTAATTGTTAAGGAAGTATTGAGTTGACCTATGTTTTGAAAACAGGTTTTCCTTCCTTTCATTATTATGTTTTCCTTGTCGTTATTATGTCGTAAGTGTAATAATAAAAGTGATCAAATTTAATATAAATGGAAATTACTTCTATTAATTTGTAACTCAGAACATCGCTATAAAGCCTGTAATGAGCGCTATGAGGCGTGTACTGCATACAGAGCAGCCTTCTTTTTTTTATGCACTAATTAATCAAAAACTCAATGGGATATCTTAGGCACAACTTGGAAATTAATTCCAAGGCTCGTGGTTCATCAGTAATTAATTACAAAACCAAATGTCGCAATTGTCCACCAAAGAAAGAACTTAATACTTCTTGTTAAGTTTTCAAGTTGCTCGAGTCATCTTAGTCGTTAAAAATAGCATCTATATAATCAAATACCTATCTGTGACATCGCGAGGTGATAAGACAGAACTGCTTGGTGTCGAATAAGTCTTTTCGAAGTAAATAAGGGGCTGTGTGTGTCTTATAAGGAAGAAATCTTCATGACAAGTTTTAATTCCGCTATGGCAAATGCCGACCGCCGACCAGGGGCTGTAATAGTGACACAAAACCCTGACATGGGGTTGATATTGGATAACTTACAAAGGATTATCGAAGACTCCAACATTAGAGTTAATCACGTGGCACATTCCAAGTTCAGTCATAACGTTGGTGATAGTGACAGGCATATCCATGTTCGTCGTTAGCAACTCGTCGTCGAAATTTCGAAATGCAGAGGATGCTATGTTTGCGTATTCATTTGGATCTATTAACTGAGACAAACATTAAATTATGTCATACCATGACTGAATAGACTTGCACAATTATGGACTTAACTAGCGCCGGCGCTACCCCTTGTAGGCGCCCAGGTGCAATTAATACCCAGGCGCTTTCTAGTAGGCACGTGATCAAAATGGAATACTTACAGTGATATTTTGATCGGAAATTCCAGTGCAAATGGTGCAATTATAAATGAAGTTGGGAAGCGGTAGCCAGTTTACTAAGTTTGCGCCACGAGTAACACAGGCCCTTTAGCGTACCGCGCCCCCTAAGACCCGGGTCCGTGCGCGCCACACATCCTGCACTATAGGTAATGCCTGCGCTGGACAGGTGTTTACCCTTGCAAAAAAGTGCGTTTTTCTTATACACATAGGTACACAGGGAGATATTGACTTTCTCCTTTAGGTGTAGTCTCCCATTCATCAAAAAGATGATGTGAATTCATAACAGAACACATAGCATGAACAGCGTGAGCACACGGGAATTATTCGTACTTTTAATAAAAAATTGTATACCCTTGACCTGTATGTAGGATCCAAGCTCACTTTTAGAAAATAATAGTCTTGCTTTTTAGTAATAATTAAATTTTGAATATAGTACCTGCCACTTACAGTCTTGGTTTATTTTTCTTATTTTTTGTCGATTTATTAATCTTACTGCTTTACTACTCGCTATTGTGTAAACCAGGACTGCACATTTTACATTGCTTGATTTTCTCTTCATACTGTACTTTTTTTCTTTTCCATGTGTTAATTTTTACGATAATTTAATTACGAAAATGAGAATGTCGATAACTGTAATCGGCGCTAGCTACCTACCTAAATAGGTATTTATTTATTATATAGGTGATTACCGATAATATTTCAGGTTTTTCCAGTTGCAAGTCCAAAGCGTCTAACGAGTCCATTCCAGCAGAAACGATAGCGAATAAATAAGCTTCCAAATCTCGTCCAGTCCTCAGTAAGGTTTTGCTGATTATGGAAAAAGAATTTCAAAATAAAATAAAATTACTTGGTCGCATATACGTAAAGACCGTGATTATAAATCTACGCCTGTATATGTATATAATAACTACTATGATACAGAGTGGAACGAAAACTTAAAGTCTTAAATATGTATCTAGTTAGAGGCTGGTTACACGGTGCCGAGGCCGGGCAGTGCTCCGGTCGTGCGCCGGCCGTGACACGGTCAAATATTCATTATATGCTTTTGTATGAACTTCATGTTGCATGAGGCACGGTATCGAGTATTTTTTCCCGGTTCCAACCCGGCCCGATTGCGACACGTAATATTAAAGCATACGCCGGACACTTGGAGGGGTAGTCAACGTTGGACTATATTGTAGTGGACAGTGTAAGCGCAAATGCTCTCATCATCTATTAAATCTTTGTAGAGCGTGGCAAATTCTCTTCAGATTCTCGTTTTCTCCATGCAGGATGTACCAATACTTCGTCATCAAGAGCTGTTGCAATAGCTACCATTAATAACACAACATTATCAGTCAAGATAAAAATGAAAAATAACAAAAACATTAACTCGGCCGGCGCACGGTGGAAACAACACGGCATGGCACTGTGACGACCCGGACCCGGCGTAAGTGTAACGTGTAAGGTGTAACGTGAACCAGCCTTAATTGTACTGAAAGTGTAATAGTTTCCAAGTTGTTCAATGACAAAGATTGGCTTGAAATCTTGATTATCGGGAAATGGTTTTTTTATACTAGTCTATTTGTCAATTGCATTTGGGAATAGTACTTTTAACTTATACTACAAGACTAACAGAGAAACCAATTAATGTTATGGAACTAAATCGTTTCTATGAGGTTCTGAAAGAACATCTGCTCGGTTTCTTTTCTTATGTTTGAGTATCGATTGTCACATTGCTAATTTGATTATTTATTATACAATTTCTTAAACGACTTACAATTAACTTACTTTTCCTTAACTTTTGAGTTGCATATGGTACTTATACCTACCAGATACGAAGATAAATGCGAATTCTTTATCCTTTTTAAAATTAACATTAAAGGTATCTATCAAGTAATTACAACCGGCGGGCGGGTGTGTCGCGCGCATCTCTATTCTATTTTGTACTAGTACGTCCTAGTGTTTTCTCGCTGTGGGCCAGATGCAATGAATTAAAATAGGACTTGGCATATAGGTTTTACAGCGGGGCCATAAACCTTGAAAAAAAAAAACAATTGCAATGAAGGGTGAATTGCCATAATTCACCCTTCATTGTAATTCGCAGGAACGTCTGCGGCTATGTCTGCAAGTGATAAGGGGAGGTGGACACATTGAACATCGTCTTTGCAAGTTCAGGTGAGGTTCTCACTTTGTGTCTCTCCCATGAGAGCTAGTGAAACTAACGCTGCGCCGCCGTGGATCGACAGATGTACTAACGTCATTCGTCCGCGTTATTAGGGTTGTCGCAACGCGTAGTCTACAATGTAAAGACAATTTTTCAATTCCTTTGATTTTACATTTAAAGTAAATAAAACTCATGTATGTAGGGTTCTTAACGCGATACTTTCGGGTTTGTCGGTCATTCTGTTCCACCCGGTATAAATAAAATAAATAATAATGTAAATAATAATCACTTTCTGAAATTGAACTGAAGGCTTATCATAGTTGCGCTTGAAGGACGAGACTTTAATTCATTAATCTGGATTATCTTTTTATTTGCATGACCTTGAAATGTACTTACTTTAACAGTCTTCCAAAAGAAGCATCCGTAGTCTTCAAATAGGGGCACAGGGTGAAGGCTGGATACGACACGTTCCAATTAAAATAGTCCATTTCTACGCTCATTACGGTTGGTGCTTCCTGTAACAATTTTTTAATAAGTACTGATGCAGACTTACAGTCGACAGATCTTAAGTATGATACTTTCAGGGTTTTTGGTAAAATGATACCGGGAAAACTTTTACCTTGTAATTATTATGATAATACAATACAATTCAAATACCCTTTATTGCACGCAAGAATAAAAACAAACAAAAGACGGCGTATAACTGCTGGCTTATTGCTAGGTAACCTTTGGGTGACAGGATAAACTTAAAAATTAATATCGAGTTCTTAGGTTTTCCCGATTGTTACACATAGGAAATGAAACTATTTTTCCGGATTTAGATCGCGTATATTTGTTTTTTCAAACAAACCGACGTTTCGGGCCCTTTACAGGTCCCATGGTCACGGTTGACTGAGGTGGTACAGTCTTCAACCAGTTATGTCTAATATTGATGCAAACCACCCTATTTTTTCGCTATAGTTACAATCATAGATTTAGTATATCCATAGATTGGCCCTGACGTATTGGAGACGAGACCAAAACAAAAATACATCTGTGTGCGTATAATGTGCATGTGTGCAAGATAAATAGTGTTGCGCCATCCACTGATTTAACTTTAATATCGATTAACATATTACACCGGCATTTCACTTCGTTGTATTCACCAAAATGTCTTAACGCAAAATACCGAGACGTTAATTAACTAGTTAATTAATGATTCAATAGAAAATTAAGAAAGCTACTATCACCTTCTGGTAGTGCCACAGGATGGTAGGTAAACAATGGGGACTTTCACCCAAGACAACACTATGGCTCTACAAAATGGTGATAAGACCCATGATCAGTTACGGCGCGATAGTATGGAGGCCACCAAGCTGACGACCGCAACCTACAAACAAATATAACTATTATAATTATTGTATGATATGATAACATAGAAGTGCATCACAGCAGTGAATTTGCAGATAAGTAATAGAACCAAAAAACCGGCCAAGTGCGAGTTCAACTCGCGCGGAGAGGTTTCGGTACAAACTTAACATTGTAGTTGAAGAATATGTTCTCCAATAGATTCCAACAGCAAATATAGGTTTATTCCCACAATAGTAGGAAATTTAAAGACAATTTCTGTATTTTTTCAAAACTTTAGGCTCTGTAGTTTCGAAGATAAAGGGTAGAATGATCAATTTTTGTCTATAGATGGTTTCTCCGTACCACCAGTTTGGGATCCATTATTTCCTCTAATGAAAAATCCCTAACAGACAAAAGACTGCAGTACTAATTGATATGTTTTAGTTTATTCTAATTTAAATCCGGAAAAATAGTTTCATTTCCTATTAAAAATTAATAATAAATATATAGAGAATGCGATAATTGCTCATTATTACAAATCAAAACATCTAAATATAAATAAATAAAATGTTTAAATGTTTTTCATAAATATGATGAAACTTACCGGCGAAGGAAGACCCCGTTGGGATCGTCCGCAGCCGCGAAGGTACGCCGCCGCCGAGCGGAATCGGCCCTCTCCCGATCACACTCGGCGACCTCCTTTTGGAGCATCACCGCTTCACAGAAGGAGGCTTTTTCGTATACTAACGTAACCTAACCTTCTGAATGGGAGACGTACGTAACCAACATATGATCTATATAAAATTTTTGTTTTCTTTTAAACCACCATGGAATCCAGTTTGTAACAATAATAATTTTGTCGAAACGAGAAATCAGCGTTATAAACTATTGTGGACAACAGACACTACCCCCTCTGCACCTTCGGCTTTTAAATTACACTCTATTAGTATCGTACAGACAAGTGCCACCGCGAGACAAGTTTAACCTTATAAATTAAACAGTGTGATGAAAATGTTTTTCTAGAATAATATATTAAGTAATTTCGGTAAGTTAGTATTGCTTTCGGAAGTTTAGTATGTCACTCCATTTTTTCTTCTTAGAATTATAATTTGAATAAGTATATTTAGTGTTTATTTTTCAGTAACTCATTGTAACGCAGCTTAGTTAGTAGTATTACAGTTAGTCACACTTTGGTGCAATTTTATTTGTTTTTCGGAACCACTATTTATTTCCCTAAAGAAAAGATAGAGAGCATTTGAGAAAAGAATAACATTAGACTACGAAAAGCTAAGCGTTGAGTAAAGTTTTAAATAACTCATTACATAGATTTGGCTCGTCTGATCGACACAGGCAGAGAATTCAACAGGTTGACACTTTTTTTACCGCGATTTCGATTTTTTATACATCGTAAAGTGTTGGACTTATTTTAATTATAAGGACGACCAAACTTTAATTAAAAAGATATTTTATTGATGCAATTTTAGAAGTAAATTTTACATTAGGCTCAATAAAGTATTTCCACTTTATTTCAGATTTTTTAACGTGAAATACGTATGCAAATCCCAAACTGAAAAACTTATCTGACTAAGGCTCAATTACTCAATGTACACACACCAGCACATAAAGCTACACATTGACGTATCTCGTTCCGTTGCAATGGAGGCGATTTTCGAACAAAAGTGTGTAGTCTGATGTGCTGTTGTCCGTACATGCCGCGAAACGAAATGGAATGTTCGCGTGGTTGGGCGGTTTGCATTGTGGGCGTTGGTTGAGGAGTTCCCGGGTTCGATTACCTTTAGGACTCACTTGGAAAATTATTTTTTTTAAGTCGGTTTTGGTTTCACTGCTCTATTTAGTATCCAGAATGAATTCCGTCGCTCTGAATTCATAGTACTACTCAGAGTACAGGGAATTCTCTAATTTGAAACCAGTATGGTTGTCTAGCGTATTATTTGATATTGCAAGATTTATTATAAAAGTCCGAATGCATAGGACGAATTAGAGAAAGAGAAATATAACCATAAAATATGACGAGTGACGAGAGGTCATAACCCGGATCTATACGTGAAACGAACTGCGGCTGCTATACAAATTTAATTATGTTCCCGGTAGGACTGATTTCGAGACCAAGCGAGTTGGAATCACTCTATAATAATCGAGAATCCCCTGAAGATCGCTATCAGTAAAACTAATAACATCATGTTAGTCGATTAGAGTGGCTTGTGAATACTTTTTTGTTTGAATATTGTTTGCTAAAGAAAGTTTGATGAAGAGATAATATACTACATTTTGTTTTGGGGTAAAGCCGCGGATATTATTAATATAATTTTTGTCCTGCGGAAACGTGGTTAGGGCAATTTGCAATGGTTCGTTCCTACTATTGTTCGTAGTTCTGTTATAGAACTACTAACGTCTATTAAATTATTCTTCAAGAACAATAGTGGAAAAATCATTCCAAGTAGTTAGTTAGTCTTAGTTCTATTTTTATCATGAAAATCATAAATAATATCAGGTAAGTTCTTTTCAAATGGTTTTTAACCGATTTAAAAAAAGGAGAAGGTTCTTGGTTCGACTGTATTTTTTTGTTTTTTTTTTGCGATAACTCCTGGCGTTTTTCTTACACTAACATCACAGTACATTTATGAAAATGTAATTTATGTTAAGAATTTTTCTTATGAAAAATAGTGACAGACATAACACTATATGAGGAATAAAAACAAGATAGCTGTTCTTGTCAGTCGTCTTCATAAAGTTACAAATTCATTTAAGGGGCAATGTATACTTACGCTTCTGTAATAAGACACCGGATGATATTCAAAATTTGCCGTACACGATTTGCCGTTCAACTACAGTGAGATAGAAAGTTTGTACTAAAAGTTATAAACACACATAGCGTCTGCGAACTTGGATGACAAAAATCTATGGTAGTAACCCGTTAAGCTCTTGCAGATAGTCTCGATCTATGATGTGTGAAATAAATATTTTAAATGATAAATGTGTACAAATGTTGATTTACAAAGAGCAAGTTCTAAAGTTTCTTGCTCTTTCTTCAAAAGTGAACCAGGCTTACGAATGAGCAGTAGAGTTTAATCAATATTACGATTTCAAGTGTAATTTGTTTACATTTAAAATAAAGATTTTTTGAGTTTGAATTTGAAGTAAATCCGGAAGTAATAGTACTGATAAAAAAGAAGAGATAAAACGCCACCTTGCATAATACATACATACATATGTATAATACATATCCACAATAAAAATCAAATTTTATTTACAATTTATGGCATTGTAAACAGATAGAAATTGGTGACAAAACAAAGATTCACTGCGAAGTTTCGTTGGGGTGTTTTTAGGTGTATATTTTCAACGTGAAAAAAGTTGGGAGCGGTTTTTTGTCGTAACGTAAATCTTGTTTACCTTCTGTAGTCTACTTACAATGAATCTGGAAAACTGAGCTGACAATAAGTAAGCGGCGAGAGTGGCGCTTGTCAGGAAACTTATGCTCCAAAAGAGTCTGTAAGGAAAACAAATTAATTATGGAATGTGAAAATTGTACTTTATATCGACCATTTATATAGATCGGCATCAAAATTACTACTTCAAGTAAATGCACCCATTTTAGAATAGAAGCATTTATTATTATTTATTTATAAGTTAAAGTAATTGGGTCGTTTCGATCCTTTAGGAATAAAAATAAGAGCCCAGACACATCTGGTGTCTGGGCTCATGGCCGATAGTGTAAAATGAAACAATCATTCACGTTCTATACTAACGAATCTTTTACGTTACGTCATGGTTTGAATTTATGTCATGGTGATTCTGACTGTTTTAAAAAATGTTTTACGTTGAAACAAAACCTAAATGCGTTGCCACATGGGCGCACAGTGGGCCCAAATTGATAATTTTTGGACATAGGAATAACTTGTGGAGTATCGAGCTTTTTTTATGATAGATAATAACAATCCTAACAACTTTCATTCTTGTATGATTTCTTGTGTGTGTCTTGTATGATGATGTGCGAAATATAGGTAATTTGAAATTTACAATGAGCTTTTCGGTGAAAGAAAACGTGACGAAACATGCACGTCTACAAAGGTTCACAACCCTCGAAATACGTGTGAAGTCCCCAACTCGCATTGGGCCAGTGTGGCGGACTATGGCCTAAATCCTCGCTTGAGAGGAGACCCGTGCCCAGCAGTGGAACATATAAATGGGTTGATGATGATAATACCGAGTACTGTAGCTTCCCGATGGATCTCTCAGCCAATCACAGCGCGAGTAAGCCGGCCTATTCCGACCTTCTATTTCATTCATGAAACCTATACGTTCACTTCGAAATACACGCACATATTCGCAAATGTCCGCTGTAAAATCACAGTAGAATAAGACCATAGCGGCCGATAACTCGGAAAACATCGGGTTATAGTTGAATAGCATTCACGTAAATTTAAACCTTATTTCGACACTTTTACCATAGTAAAATAAGAACAATTAGAGCAACTCCCGGCGGCTTGGTGCATCAATGCCTATATTTCACTGGGAGCGTAGGGTTGGCACATTATTTTGGTTGTACCTACAAGTTGTAAACATAATTTGAAAAAACAGAAAAAAATTACAGAGTTTTCATGCTTTGTTGAAATAACCTTTGTCAAATGCAATATGTAAGTATATATTGATATGTTTATTACCATTATTGCCAGTATATTATTACCAGTATTGGTATCTCTCTTACGGCAGTATGGTTACGAAATAGGAATTAAATGCGAGTTTGTATATAATATGTAATGATTTACTTATAAATAAAAAATATATATATTTCACGCGGAGATATATTTTTGTTTTAAAGATTTTATTATTGCTATCACACAATTTTAAATGTCACGTGTCCACTGACTATAATAGTAACTCTCAACATAGATACACATCATTCCACATTTATTTGATTTAAGTTCGTAAAAGTAGTTAAGACTAGCCAAGAGGCTGAGAATAGAAAAACATATTAATAATGATATAATAAATGTGCCAGACATCTAATTACTTGATCTCACACTAAGGAATTGCCTGTGCTATGAGTACCAGATTAATGAAATTAATACAGGGCACTATCCAGAACACTCAGATCAGAACAAATTTAGATAAGTTCGTTTCGGGAGCTCCTCACACCCATAAGTGCTAACCGCTGGGCAACCATAGTCGTCAAATAATGAAATAAATAAAAGGTTTGTAACTTACCTCTCATATTTAGTAGGTAAGCGAGATGAATGAAAATTCTGAATTTGAGGCATTTCTTGCAGGCTATTGTTTAAAATAACCATGAACACAACAATAAACACATCTACTATTTGACTTCATTTTTTAAACACCGACCGAACGCTTCGATTCGATAAAATAATATTAGATTCTAGTTTGTTATTTATCCACGATTGTTCGGTTTTTACATATACTATGTTATATATGTTATATTATCTTCCATAACAGCAGTTCGTCGAAGAGGCTCTTCCAAAAATAAATACCTTACTGTTGCCTTAACGTTGCGCTTTCGACCAATATTATCTGCCTGCACTCTTCGAAACTTTAAAAAAAATAATATTTAAGTGACGAGACGAACAAAGTCGTGCGCCTGATACTAAGCTACACGCCTGTTCATTGCAGTCCAGTTGCAGTGCCACTCAAAGCTTTAAATCGCAAAAATCTGAGGGGCACTGCCACTGCGCCTGTCACCCTATAACGGTCAAATTCAAATTCAAATTCAAAATAATCTTTATTTCATAGGTAAGCATTATTACACTTGAAATCGTCACAATAGTTAAACTCTACCGCTCATTCGTAAGGCAGATTCCCCTGAGAAGAATGAGCAAGAAACTCTAGGGGTTGCTCTTTGTAAATAACATTTACAATATTTTTTTTATTTGAAACATCAGAGATCGAGACTACCTCCATGAGCTAAACGGGTTACTACCACGGATTTTTGTCATCCAAGTACGCAGAAGTTGTATAATAACCTTTAGTATAAAGTGTTTGTTTCACTATTATTATTATTATTATTATTATTATTACTATAGTTTTTAACCTCGTGAAAGGCAAATTTTGTATATCAACCGGAATCTTGTTATAGAAGCGTATACATTGCCCCTTAAATGATTTTTTGACTTTGTGAAGACGACTATCAAGAAAAGCTAGTTTATTTTTATTCCTCGTATTAATGTTATGTCTGCCACTATTTTTCATAAATAAATTACTATTCCTTTTAACATAAATTACATTTTCATAAATGTACTGTGAGGCTAGTGTAAGAATGTTAATTTCCTTAAACTTATCTCTCAAGTCAGTTGATGTTGATCAACATTCAGCATTACTCGAAACTGACACTGGCCCAAGCCTAGTGGCTACCATTAAGGAAATAATAATAATTGAATTCGATAGTGAAGTGTGCGCGAGACGACGCGTTACGCTACGCAAGTGCACCACAAGTACACAATAAAATTACGCGAATTTGTGCGTCCCTATACGTTCACACATACAAGCCGCGCAGCTATGTTTGCATGGAGTTACCCTACTGTTCTTATTGTACTATGCTATTTAAAGACTGAATAATGTAACAAAATTATTACAATAATACAAATGTTAATTAGCATTTCGTAGACGGTAATCGATGATAGAGTTACGAAAATTTAAAGTTTGGTTGTTTTATTTTAATAGGGGTACATAAAGAACGTAGACGATCGTGTTAATATAATTTTAGTAGTTGCAATTAAAAATTAAAGCGGCAACTCTTGCATTCACCATCGCGATACAAAAGTTTGTCAGCCATGCGTTGTGGAAGTGCGTAGCTCTCTTCGTAATTTATTATGTTTTATACTCAACGTTTAAGCCGGATTTACATTTGTCTGACGTGTCGTTAGATTTATATTAGTGTCGTAATCTGACGTGACGGCTTGTGCTGTGTGTATGAAACCGATACCGTTTTGACGCGTGACGACACGACACGTCAGACAAATGTAAATCTGGCTTGACGAATATCTAAATCAGTAAAATGAAGTGTACTAGTATCTTGTGTGCTAATAAGTGTCCTGTTGAAAAGTCGCCAAGGCCCCTTTTTAGCGGCAAAGAAGTTTTTGTTAAAGTAGGTTTTTTATGTTTTGACAATTTTCACGCCTCCTCTCATGCCTTTACTCTGGTAGGTAGTTTAATAAGTTGACAAATTTCTATTGTTGCTTAGCTTATAGCAGTTTTCATAATGTTACACCTACCTTTCAAACCAATGTATATCCTTATTAACTATGTAGGGTAAGCCATGCGTTGTGGAAGTGCGTAGCTCTCTTCGTAAATAGTTGATTAGTTGCTGCCGCTTCAACTTTCTTGCGTAATTATCGCGTTTCCTTGTGCACACAAGTTTTTCCCTTACTATTTTCCGTATCATGTTTGCTTGTATATTTCCTTTTGTGCAGTATTGATTATGTTTCCTTATAGGTATTGTAACACTGCTATAAAATAAATTGAATTTAATTTTTTTTTAAACACGCATCATTTTCAAAACTTACATACAATTTTTTTTTATTGCTTCAAGTGACGGGACGATGAAGTCGTGCGCCTGATAACCATAACAGTTACAGTCCCACTCTGAGCTTTAAATTGCAAAGATCTGAGGGGCACTACAATTGCACCCGTCGCCTTGAGACATAAGTTGACATGTCTCATGAGCTTGTAATTTCACCAGCATCCTTACCCTTTACTACAGCTCACATACTTGTAAGTGATGTTGAATACATAAGTGCCAAATCAACATTGCATTGGAAAGAAACAAAAAATTTGAAAACATTTTTATTTTAGAAATACTATTGAGTAGAACGGATTACGATATATTACAAGAGATATCATGTCATTGGAAATGAAACTATTTATACGAATCTGAATCGAGTAAGTATCGCTTTAGTTTTTTCACACAACCGTGACCATGGGTCTCGTCAAGAGCCCAAAACATTTTTAATAGGTTTGTTTGAAAAACAACAAATATACGCGATTTAGATACGAAAAAATAGTTTATTTTCTTACATTACAAATAATGTTACTTTTTTAAACACTTTATTGTACAATTATACGTACCTGTATATGTAATGTATACAGTATGTGGCACTAAGTATACATTTAAGTTTTTAGAGGTAGCTTCATTGGTTACTGAAATGAACAGAACTGAAATACAAGTAATTTATAAAGAGTATTGCGTTGATATTATATCTCTGTAAGCATCTTATATATCACAGAACATAGATGTCTATAGAGTCTCCTAGTAATAAATTGGACGGTACAAAATGATAAGTGATAGTGAGATATGATTGCGTTAGGATTTACATATAAAGTAAGTAACTAAATAGTGCATAACGTAATATAATATGTTGCAGCCGTACTGTTTAAAGCATTGTATTACATTATGGCTTACCGGTTTGTAAAACGGCGCTGTTTTTTATTACGGTTCGGTTGGAATGCGATTTGCCTAAAAAAAGTATTTAAAGGGTTTACGCTGCTTTGAAGTATTTAGTTCCAAATATAGCCGCTAGTAGCGCTGCATTATCATAACAACAATAATGATCATTACATGATCACAATCCGGTTGAACACGAGGTAGCCATATTAGAAAACAGCGTCGTTTTGCAAATCGGCTAGCCGTAATGTAATACGGCGCTTTATACAATACAGCTGCGGCACAGCGCTGTTTTGCTAATCGGCTAGGCACAATGTAATACGGCACTTAACACAATACGGCAGCGATATATGTATAACTACATTCTATAGACATTTGTGATACCTACTAAGGAAATATCCTTATTATAACAAATGTTTTGCTGGTTACGGGACATAAGATATTATGTTTCCTATGCCTTTTGAACACAGCATCTGAGCTCTGTGACTGAAATGGCTAAAGCGGTGGTTTTGCATAGGCTGGAAACTCGCTGACATACCTATTCGGAAAAATAAACAAGTTACTCGTTCTCTGAAGTTCTAAATCTTGTCTTTGAAACTTTTTGAAAGTATACTTCCTCTGCGTCAAAACGTCAAGTAACATCTTAAAATATTCACGTGACATATAATATAGCTGTAGCATTTTTCATTTGAAATAAAGGAAAAGAATGTATGTACATTTCTATTTAATTTATTTGTCTAATATTTCAGAAACGAGAATACATTGTAGAGGTATATGTTATTGTTAATTTCAAGGCAAAATATTTTTTATTATAGTTGGAACATTTAAGCTATAAAAAAAGCAACTTTTTATCGAAAACGTAATAAATAAGATGTTTACTTACTATTCCTTATGTAAATTGGGGTGACCCAAATCACATAAAACAGGTTGTTTTGTTCCAGTCTTTTGAATTAACTACCCCAACGAGCAGACTTAAGTTCTTTGAACATTCTCTGGACGTTTCGAATTTGCTAGAAGTAAGGAGAAGACTCCATCCCCACTTCCTCGATGCTTGGCACGTCACGACCACTCGAGCATCTCGTTCGTTCCTTCCCCGAACCAGTAAGATGTGGAATGGCCCTCCTCCTGAAGTGTTCCCCTTGCGCTATAACATGGAGTTCTTCAAAAGACGTGTAAACAAGGTTCTCCGGAGTCGGCAACGCATGGGTGATGCCTCTGGTATTGCTCGTGTCCATGGGCGACTATGACCACCTCCCATCAAGTGGCTTGTCTGCTCGTTTGCCTACTAGTTAACATAAAAAAAAAAAAAATAAGTAAAGGCTTTAGGAGAAAATAGCGCCACTGCCGTCAATGTTCTACTTGGTTGTTTTTATCAAGCTTAACAATTGAATATCGAAGTTACGGGTATTGTGCCGGTGTCACGTGAACTCGTATTATAACGGCACTTATACAAATAATTTTTTGAAAAATGTCACCTTTTGTTAAACGAAATAATGCCACGTATATTAAGTATTTAAACGTAGATTAGTAATATCGAAGTAGCTTTCTTAAATAATTATGTTTTCCTTTTCAAGGACACAACTAATTGTTAGGCATCACTTTGATGTTATAGTTCGTTATGAACACGTGAAATGAACCAACATCATCGTTAACCCATTATAAGTCCCACTGCTGGAGGCTACTCCCGTTCTCCGTCTTCTTCTTCTTTATGGTGTTATACACATCGATACAATCGATGATTCCGTCAATGTCAAGTTAAGGAAGACGCATTTTTTACTCAAAATTTGACCAGTGAATTTCGATAGAGTTCGCTGAGAGGAGAATCTACAACAACAGACAACATACACAGGCAATTACAAAAACTAATTGTT